CCCAAAAATTGAATTTATAAAAAAATGTGAAACACAAAAATTCATAAACGCCTTGTTAAAAATGACTGATATAACTGAATTCGAAAATAACTTTGATGACCTCTTGCAAAAACCGGCAAGCAATAATATATCCGAGACCTTGAGCAATGTAGACGTGTCTAATCCATTTCAGGACGCAGTCTCACTTTTGATTGCGCCAATAAGTCCTTTAACTGATGTTAATGGCAATGGTACACACGATTTATATATCGAGCCTCCTCTGAACAATCCATTAAACGATAGCCTGATCTCCTCCGAACCGGAAGTGCAAAGTATAGAGATCAGGTTTGATGAAGAAAGGGATTACGAAGAAGTTGATGTATCATCCTTTAATGGGATAGATGCTATTTCAATTTCGTCAGAGGGTCACGTTCATGAAATTAGCAATAGTGACGAGTCTTTTGACGAAGAAAGTATTATTGGAAAAGAATCGCATGTACAGTCGAGAGTAGCAAGCTTCAGTTTGAATTCAAGTCAGGTAATTATAGTTATGAGCCATTTTGACCATTAACAATTCTGAAGCTCGCATTAATGAACTTTTTTAAGACAAATTTTCATGGGACTGGAGAGTTTATTCCGGTATTCGAAATTACAGTTGAAGATCCGCAAAAAATTGGCGATCCCATCAATGCGCATATTATATATAAAGTCCGAACTAGGGTATGTTTAAACGATGGAAGAAATGTCATATTTCATGTTATTAAATCCACGATCTCAATTGCAGACTACATCCACTGCATTTAAAGATAAAGAATTCACAGTTTTAAGGCGATATCGTGATTTTCTATGGTTATATAATCAATTAACGCTCAGTAATCCGAGTGTCATAGTTCCCCCTGTACCAGGAAAACATGTTATTGGTAAGGATTGTTAATGTAATAAAAGTTACACATACTAGACTTCAACTAAGTAAATAACCTGATGGCAGGTCGATTTCAGGATGAATTCGTAGAAAACCGTCGCCAAGCACTTGAAAAATGCTTGAATAAGATCATATCTCATCCGATGTTACGCAGCGATCCAAATTTAAAGTTATTTTTAGAGTCGGATACTTTTGCTACTGATGTAAAGTTTATAAGCTAATTTAACGGTAATTATATAGTAAACATGCTAATATACGAATTATCTGATGACAGGTCAAACGTAAAAGTCAAGATGAATCAAAAGGTGTATTAAAATCATTAGGTGAAGCAGTGTCAAACGCTACCACATTCAGCAAATTTGTAGAAACAGATGAAGTAAGCTCATGATTTTTGATTATTAAACTTTCAAAGTATTCAGGATTACTGATTACATGTCACTCGCTGTCAGTGGTTTGAGAATCGAAAAAATCAGTTGGACATACTGGATTTTCAATTGAAGGCGTTACTTAAATCAGTTGAAACCGTTGTTAAACAACGCAAAGGTACTTCTATTTCTTTTAGCTCGAAATTATCAATTTTCATTAAACTGATTTCTTTAAGACTTGGGAAGTATGGTTGTGGATTTTGGGGACAGCATTTTGTCTCTGGCAAACACCGAAATCAATAAGCCGCTAGCAAACAATCTAATGACATTAGGAAACTTGCAACGAAATATTAAGGAATTACATGAAAAACAGGTTGGTTATTGATGTAAACACACTGTGGCATAATATCGAACTATAGATATTTATTTGTCACCAGGCACAACAGGATGTTATTAATTTGGAACACACGATAGACGAGTACATCCGCTTGGTTGGGTCGATTAAGGTTAGCAGTCTACATTTGTTGCATGCTCTGTGTTGAACTATTATTATTTTTTTTTTTAACCTTTGCTTTATACACAGGTTGTATTCAACTCTCGTTCTAAGATTTATCAGACATGGCAGAATGCTGTATACGATTTACAAAAGAAAAAGGCGACCTATGAAAGACTGAAAATTCAAGGAAAGATGAACCAAGACAAACTATCGATCATGTTGGCGCAAATTGCTGAGGTGCGAATTGTCTAAAAATTGTCTAAATTTTGTTGTCATGTATGCCTTCGATAGTTTGAGTTTTTAATGTTTATACGCTTATTTAGTCTGAACATCGTGTGGAAGATTGTAAGCACGAATTTGAAGATGTCTCTAAACTTATTAAGGCTGAATTGGATCGATTTGACAAAGAGAAGGTAGAAGATTTTAAGAATAGCGTTGAAGCTTTTTTGGAATCAATGGTGCAAACACAAAAAGAGGTAAATTTAAACAATTTTATTCTTTTATTATGACATTTTTTATTTAATCTTATTTATTTTTAGATTATTAATTTATGGGAGTCTTACTCCGCGCAAGTAGAATTACTACAGAATACAATTTCGGAAGATTACTCTGTTATGGCATCATGAAAATGAAATCTTTCGCAAGAGTTTTCAAAGCTTAAAATAAAACTAAAAATAAAAAAAAAAATTTTAAAAGTAAATCAAATTCCCATAAAAATTATCCGTGTAACAATTATATCGCAATTGTTTGTTTGTTTATCTGCTATCTATACTTTTTATATTGCTGAGTAGTCTCAAAATTTTTGGT